TAATTTGTAAATTGTAGAGAGTAGTAGAGTAGAGAATGAGAGATTGATGGGAAAAATGTTGATTGGAGTGGGTATTTATAGAGAAAAAAATGAAAATAATAATAATAATAATAATAATAATAATAATAATGAGACCAATCGGTAAATTCAGTGACTAGTCACTGAATTTTACATTTATTTATTATTATTTTCTTTAAAGAGCCCACAAGCCGCTCGGCTCGTGGGCTAATCGTGGGCTGCTATAGTCGGTCGCTCGACTCGATTGTCACCACTACATAACATTGACTAGTTCACGTGATATTTGATTCCAATATTTTTCAAAATACATTTTTTTCTTCAATTATACATTCTTTATTAAAATAATATTACACGAAATTAAAAAAAATTGGGCTCAAGCACCCCCTCAATTTGTTGTTTAGCCCTCGTTCACTTTTTAAAAGTTTTTGAGGAAAAATGTTTTATTTGATAATGATTTTTTGAATAATGTATAATTAAAAAATAGAAAAAACTTTAAATTTATGTATAAAGTATTTTATGACGCGAACGTGTAATTGAAAATAAGTTGAAAAAAAAAAAGAGCTTAAAAAAATGGTACTTAAAATTCAAATAATTGGTCGAATGTCAGGATTGGTTTTGTCCTTCTATTATAGTCGACCTTTTAAGACAGTCCAAATCCAGATCTAGCAAACTATTTTGCATTTTGGTATGAATATAAGCAATCTATGAACATGAGCAAAAATCTCATAATACTAAACCCAGTTTCATTAGCACTTCATTATAAATAATTTTAACAGGTCGCACAAACTTATCGAGTAGAACCAAACTTGCACCAAAATACACATTACACATACGTATTATTCCCTAAAACACATTCATTTTTTTAATTGTTATCTTTCTTCTCCTCTTCTTCCTCGAACGCCGACACAGGAAAAGACCTGGAAATACCAGTAGGGGTGCCGAAAGTAATTTTCCCAGAGACGGGGTCCTGAATGTAAATATCAGAAATAGTCACCCAGATCAGGAACTCCTTGCTCTTGACACCTGTAAGCTTTTTCATCCGACGGTCCTCAACGAACGCCGTCACCTCTGTATCGTACCATACGCTGCGATTGATTGCACGGAATTGGTGCGTCTTACTCTTTTTCTGCTTCAGCCAGACGAATCCCGAAGCCTCGTTGAAGCCAACCTCAACGATGTCGTCTAAAGGGAGCAAACCCTTGGGGAGGTTGATTTTCTCCAGGAGTTCAAGGGATTTTTGCTTGCATATCGTCTCGTCGGTGTAGATATCGGCGTTTTCTCGGTGAGATTCGATTATTTGGGCCGACATTTTGGTGGAATTGAGATTGAAGGAAGAGTGAGGGTTTCTTTTAGAGTGAAAGTTTGGGTATTGCGACACGGGGGGAAAGTGTGATGGGATGGCGTGTAGATATATAAAGAAGCAAAAGAGGGTAGAATTACGTAACAATTAAGCTACATGAACATAGCC